AGTGCATTGCTTGAGTGATTGCATCTAGAGGCACTTGGTGATTGTGTTTCGCTGCGGATTTCGCTTGTTACTCTTGGTGGTTGCCGCCACCTAGACGGCTTGGAGCAGCGAGGATCGTTGAGTGGAGGAGGTGATTGTCTCCGACTCCGATCGTTTTGATTGTGAGGGGTTCTTGACCTTTCCCCGGCGGAGCGCCAAAAGGTACTCTAGTAAACTGCTTGTGGCTTGTGTGATCCTCATCTTGTGTTGGTTGTGCGGCACCCTATTGAGGGTTTGGCGAGTGATGCCAATCAGCGCGTGAACCTCCAAGTGAGTGAATCGCCACAACGAGGACTAGCTTGCCGGCAAGCAAGTGAACCTCGGTAAAAATCATTGTGTTCATCATTTGATTCCGAGGTGATTGGTCTACATTGGTATTCATTATTGTGATTGATTGGTTCCTACCACTACACGGCGGTATAACTCTCTTGCTCACTCTTACATTCCCGCAAACTAGTTATCAAGCTCTTTAGTGTAGCTAGTTGTGAGAGCTTGTTTGTTTGATTAGTGTTGCTCTTTAGTTAGTCTTTGAGAGCACACTAATTTAGCTAAGTGTCATAGCTATTGTGTGGATATACTCTATTCAAAATAGAATTGTGGTAGGTGGCTTGCCTTTTAGTAGGCTAGTGCAACAATCGCTTCGCCGCATAATTGTCTAACATATTTTGTTAAGTGTTGTTGTAGAATTTTATTAGGCTATTCACCCCCCCTCTAGCCATTAGGACCTTTCAACTGCCGGCCTTACAGGGCAGCACTGCCGCTCTTCGAAAATAAATCAAACACGGCTGACATTTTACAGATAAGAACCTGACCCCTTTAACTGCTTAATCTTGCGATATAAAGATAAGATTCAGTTCGAAGACTGAATACCACAGAAACTCCACACAATAATGGATTGAGCAACCAAACCCTAACACTAGCTAGTAATGAACTAAACCAGCAAGTAAATAAGATAAAGCACGCAAGAGACAAGATTTATCCCGTGGTTCAGCTCACCACCAAGGTTTTCCTAAGTCCACGTTGTTGAGGAAGCCACAAAAAGGCTTGAACTTGCCACAAAGGCTTGCCTTACCCTCGCTCTCAAATCAAGAGAATGAACTCTTGAAGTGAGGGGTGATTTCTTAGCTTTTGAATGAGGTTACAAACCTCCCAAGGCTGCCACACGAGTTGGCAAACGCAAGGGCGACGCCTAGCCGGCTAGGAGAAAGCTCCAAGAGTAACAAACCCTAGAACCGCCGGCCAAACATGAACCAAATGCTCTTAGACTTTGGGAATCAGTGGATCTACTCTCCAATCGAGTTTTGCTGCCTTTTCTCTCAAGTTTTGATGCTTGGAATCAAGGATTAGCTTCAGGGATGGAGGAGCAACAATGGAGGAGAGAGGGTGAGCTTTGGTTCTGTTTTTCTCGAGCAGAATGACTTAGTAAAGAAGATGACCGTTGTGGGCCGGGCCTGAAGGGTATAAATACCCCTTGAGCCCAACGGTTAGTTAAGGGCGGCATTGCCGTTCTTAACAGGGCGGCACTGCCGCCCTAGCCAAAATAGGTAACATGATATGAAATTTGGCTGGCTGTTTTGACTAGGTGAGATGATGTAGATCTGTGAATTTGAGCATCTGGTTCAACAGTTGACCAACTGTCCTAAAATCCCTCTTAGTAGTACGGCTTTCCCTAGACTCAATTTCAAAACATAAAAGAATTTAAACCTCCTTTGAGCTAGGCCTAGCCACCTTTTGTAATTAGGACACTTGCAACCTGTACATCATCCTCATTTTTCGATTCCCTGCTTGTCATCTTGATAAATCTCATTAGTCCTTTAATTTGGTGGTCATCAATGCCAAAACCCACAATAGGGCTTGATTGCACTTACATGGACCCACCGGGTGTAGTCCGACGTAAATCCATTCTTCACAAGATGTTTACCCATTTCCACCTTGTTTACCCTTCTCCTGTTTCCACATTTGCTGCAGGGACACAAAACTAGGCAATGTCCTTTAGCAGTGTTGCCAAATGCACTGTTCAAGAAAGCATCGGTCTTGTTCATCCATTCCGTGGTGTAATCACTCTGACTTCTCTAGCCCGTGTACATCCACTGACGGTCATCCATCCTCTAACATATGTATCAGCGAGTAATGTAACCATCAATTGCATCTACATGGTGTTCCTACTGTCTAATAGGTGAGGATAGGTCCTAATCCCACCCGCAGATGCGTAGATGAAGTTAGTTTCGATGCTCTACTCCTATCCGAGACAGAATTTCGACAGCACCTCCCCGTTGTTCTCTAGATACACGTCCTGCCAAAGAAGAGTGCGTATCCGGAGAACAACAGGGAGGTGATGCCGAAACTCTATCTCGAACCGGAGCAGAACATGGAAAATAACCCATCTACGCATCCGCGGGCTGTCCAAAAAAACATGGACAATCCGAAACAAATACGGTCATAGATATGCAAAGATCTGCATACCTCCAACCGTATCTCTTTCGAACGGAAGACACCTAACTGGGTTACGCGATCTATGACCATGATACGAAAAGAGGGGTCATACCTAGGGTGGCGGCGGAGTCAGGCTAGCGGGGCCGTGGCGGGTCGGTGCAGTGGCGAGACGACGCAGTGCAGACAGACTGGCACGGCGGTGGGAACTCCGACTCGGCTCCGACGGGCAGTTCTCTACAAAAATGGAACAAAATATTGTCATTTACAAAACATTTCGGCAGAACCTCTCCTGCATGGTGAGGTTTCGAAAACCTGCAAAAAACAACGGCACGATGGCCGACAAGCACATATGTCTCAAGAGAAGCCATGTAGTTTGGATATCAATCAATGCAGAAGAATATATCCAAGTAGTACCACTACTTGTACTACTACTTCCACTATTGCTACTACTACTACCATTAGTTCTACTACTACTACTACCACTATTGCTACAACTACTACCATTAGTTCTACTACTACTACTACCACTAATTCTACTACTACTACTACCAATAGTTGTACTACTACTACCACTAGTACAACTAATACTACTACAACTACCACCACCTCGACAACAACAAGAGAGAAGGCATACCGACGGTGCTGTGGGTAGGGGGGGCGTCGAGGGAACGGGGGTCGGACACGGCGACGTCGGAAGGGCGGTCCACGACGAGCCGTCAAGGGTGGGGCAGCCAATGGTGGCGGGCGGGGGCAAGGCGTGGCAACATGGCGTGTAGTAGGTCATGGTATGCGCTGGGTGGCCGGTCGTTGGTCTGACCGCCTGACCGCCAAAAACGACTAAGTCCCCCCAACCGCCCTTTGCCGAGTGCCGGATCAGGGAGGCACTCGGCAAAGATTAAAAAAATTAAAAAATTTCTTTGCCGAGTGTCTCAGATCTGGCACTCGGCAAAGATTTTTTTTGAAAATATTTTTTGAAAGTGCCTGGCACGGCACTCGGCAAAGATTTAATTTTTTTTTAAATTTTTTTGCCGAGTGCTCCTGTGGAGGCACTCGGCAACGAGGAATTTTTTTAAAAAAAATTCAAAACCCTCTCTGTCGAGTGCCTTATTCTTGGCACTCGGCAAAGAGGCACTCGTCAAAGAGGGTTTTGAATTTTTTTTAAAAAATTTCCTCTTTGCAGAGTGCCTCCACAGGACCACTCGGCAAAGAAATTAAAAAAAAATTAAATCTTTGCCGAGTGCCGTGCCAGGGGCACTCGGCAAAGTATTTTTCAAAAAAAAAAATCTTTGCCGAGTGCCAGATCTGAGACACTCGGCAAAGAAATTTTAAAAAAAAAATTAAATCTTTGCCGAGTGCCAGATCTAGGACACTCGGCAAAGAAATTTTAAAAAAAAAAAATCAAATCTTTGCCGAGTGCCTAACAGCAGGCACTCGGCAAAGAAGGACCTGGCCGAACGCCGTTACTCGGGCAGCCTATGCCGAGTGCTGAGATTTTGCCGAGTCGGGCACTCGGCAAAGAAGTCCTTTGCCGAGTGCCCTTTTTTGCCGAGTGCCCGGCACTCAGCAAAGAACTCTTTGCCGAGTGTAATTCTTTGCCGAGTGCAGCACTCAGCAAAGAAGGTCTTTGCCGAGTGTCCGATTTTTGACACTCGGCAAAGAATTTTGCACTCGGCAAAGTCTCTGTTTCCAGTAGTGTTGGGAGGTACAGAAAAGGAAGACAAAGCAGCAGTGTTTTCATAAACAAAGAAAAGGAAGACAAATGGATGGAAGGGTCACCTTACTTTTGAAGACCTACATCATATCAGAGTTTTAAGCTAGCTTTTCTGTTTTTTAGCAGATGATCGAGTTCCTCATGCCATACTCAATAAAATTGTAAACTTGAAGCTTTGTGAATGTGAATATCTGAAGGCATGGCAAGTGGTATCAAGGGCATCTTTGCTGTTCTATTAGTTTCCCCTTTGACTTGGACACTTGGTACACCATCTAATATCTACTCAGAACTTTATTATATGCCCTCACATGAAAAAAGAATTGCATTGTCAACCTCAAATTTGTTAACAATAGAAAATGCAGTCCAAATATATATGTATGCTTTGTAAATAAGTCTATATTATCTTCCTAAACCCAACATTTATTGGGCCCATTTGCCACTCAGTTCTTATTCATCAGTGTGTACCCTGCATTGTTCCTGCCTTCTCATGCTACATTTGTATTGTACTAGTCCATCACGCGCGCCATCGCGCGCGCCGGCAAATCACCTGGTTAAGGCGCAGGGGGAAAATATGTTTAATCTTTGCATGGAAACAATATTAGGAGTCAAATGTAGCTATGTCAGGTACAAAGAACGAAAGATTGGAGCACAATAATTTGCATACCTTGAGCCGCATCATACTTCACATTCAGATAATCTGTGGTAGTAGGCAATGAGGCAAGAGTTGTTCAAGAAATCTGATACCCCTCACATTCAGTTGAATGACAGCATTGTCTAACTGAAAGCAGTTTGTACAGCACCTCAAGCCCTACTATCATCATGTTTCATCACTCAAAAGATCATAAGTTCGTATCTGGTAGGTGTAGTTGTCACTGGCATATTCAAACATACATGTCAGAATCATATTGCATTTATCAATCTAACATGGATCGCATCTTCTCACTCTGCATCCTCTATCTCTGCATCCTCTGGAACGGCTAGGAGATACAGAACGCTGTTGCACCTGTATGTAGATGTAGAAACATAAAACTGAATCATACGGGGGCCAAATGATTATGCAATGCAACAGGGCCTAGTTTGATCAGATACTATCGACCGAAGATCCAGTTCACACCAATTTAAGTTTTGAAGAAGCCCTACCCTTCCTTAACATGTAACTTGATCAACACTAGCATAGTACTTTCCAAGTATCGGAAGTTGGAATAGGGCAGCAGGATGACAGGATGTATGCAAGCTTTTCCCAGTTCTATATCTAGATTTATTACAAAACACTACTACTTGACATAAGCTAGAAAGAAAGGAACAAGAAACATTACCTGATTAGAATCTCTCCCAGATTTCCAGAGAATTGCCCATCAATGTAATCCTCAGTGTTGGCAAGCTGCACACAGTAGGGAAAAAAAGGCAGCAATGAATTTTGTATGTCATTTAGACCCAATTGATGATTAGCTATTCATCAAAAAAGTATTCAATACACGACCACTCTAATAGTATGACAGCCAAACTATGAAATTAGTACCTGGAGATTCATATAGGAGTCCACCGAAGCAAGATAACCTGGGAATGTATAATAAAAGTTTTTCAGTTTGATTAAGAGCAGGGGCAGTATCTGGAAACTAAAATGTTCCGGTTCAAACTGAATATAAAAAGGAGATATTACCTCTGTACTCCATACCCCACTTGAGTTTGACAATAACAGGGTTCCTGTCAGGTTGTTCAGGAAAGGTTTTGGGTTAACTGGCACAGTCTGCACAAAACGAGAGCTGATTAGTGAGCACGTATACCATAAGATCTTCCTTTATTATAGCTAGCAAACATAAATAACAAGACTCTCATTCTTTGGATTTCCGTAGTTCATTATTACTAAGCCCATTGGTCAACTAGATGATAGATTTGTGCCATTAATTGGAAGCTAGGCATTTACAACAGTCTGGTGCGTAAAGAATATCACAAAAATATGGCATGCATGACATGATGCACCCAGTGGCTCAACATTTAACTGAAAAAATAGACCAATAATATAGCACATATTAAGCATCATGGCAAAAATGTATAAACAGGTCAACATTTAAAATCTCATTATCGAAGTCACCTAGGAAGGAGACAGTGAGACACTCATCCATTTATCTAGTCAAGTATATTACTGTTAATAAAATTTAATATAATTGTTTCATAATGCAGAAGAGCATGCTATCTTCCTGCTACAAACCTAAGGTATAAAAGGTACTCTATCTGTAGACAAATATATCAATGAGAAAACTATTCTATAAAGCAACCCAAACATCTAGATAAATGCTGATTTATAGTCTCGGCATAGCCGTAAATAGAAAGACAACTTGAGGGGTAGTTGTACATGTATCTCTGAAGCCAGAACATAGCAACATGTACCATTTGAGTACCAATTCAAATTTGAGGTTCATCGAATTAAGACACGAATGTATGAAATCAAATGTTTAAGACTGTGTGCTCTTAGGAGGCTTAGAGCCTGCTTGGCGGCTAGAACTGTGCCACCCTGAGCTCACGACAACCGCAGGCGAAGTGTAGAAAGCAATATCCACGAAAACATACGAAGATGCCCCAGGAAAAAAAGAGCATAAAACACAAACAGTGATAATAATGGCTGCATATTCTCAAACGGTATAGCTGAGAAGAGGATATTTGGTGTCAAGCAACATTGGCACTGACATGTTCGGGAAAAAGTTGGAAAACAGCAATGGCATGTAAATATTTTCAGGCTTGACACTCGCAATGACAAAGAAAAAAAACATAAAAGAGTCTATAGACAACCAAATATAGACTGCTGGTTAGAGTCAACAAACCCGGAATATGAAACCAAATTACCTGTGCACTCAATAGCTCAAAGTTCGGGTGGTCGGCTGAAATTGCCGAGTGGCCATATAGACTCCTAAAAAACTGGAAAGCAAAGATTTTGGATGTCTCCAACATCGTTTCCTAAGTTAACTGTAAGCAACTCTAATTAATAGTGATTGAGGGGAGGAGGGCTGGGCATGGAGTGCAGTTTTCACCAGCTATCGTAGCCCTTACATTTAACACTATACTAAATAACTAGGTCTCTTCTCCCACTTCCTGTCGTCGCCATTTGGTTCCACTATGTTTGCAAGGCCAGTTTGAACCAGCGTTTGTGAAGTTCCCCTTGCAAGTAAGACAGGAAATTAGCTCACTAATTTGTCACCCGCCATATAAAAAGAAACAGCCGGAGTACTAAATAGTAGAGTAAGTTTGTCAAACTGACCTCTGCAGACAACTGGAAAGTGACGGCCGGAGTCAATCGCTCCTTCAAAAGAGCAGAAACTACGCCATTGGTATCCAGTTTCCCCCTCAATCGACACTGCAAATTCGATAATCAATATATTTTCACTTAATATTCATGTGACCTCACTTAACTTGAATACCGTAAGGCCATAGAACAATATAAGCTGTTAGCCAAAAAGACCCGGTTGATATTCATGTGACATAACCCAACTCATGAAAAATGGAGACCCTCAAGCGTTTTAGCTAACACGTGCATTACAATAACAACTTGAAGCATGAAAAAAATCACAAATGGGTGAAACTAACGAGGATACATGTCTCAGCATATAATCATGACCAAAGGTTGTTGTTACATCCTTTGTCATTTGATTGTACATGAAATCAGATGCAAGGGAAACCTGCACACAATTGGTTATGTAGTGAAGCTGCTATAAAAGCTAAAAAAGATGTAAGCATTAAATACGACATGAAAAACACTCACATTTTCAGATACTTTGTGTACATAACTAAGCGCAACCATTCCAGTGGTTGCAATTTGGGCAGTCGCAACCTGCACATATACGAGATACAGCTTCATCAGATACAGCTAAAAATATTTTATTTCCCCATCTTAATATATATATCAAAATATCCAATGCTTCTGCCAATTGTGCGTTTCCAAGATGAGTTGTGAGGCTCTTGTTACAGAAGTCTAAAAAAGATGCTAAACACAAGCAAGAAACCTGATTTATCAGGTCAACTAAGATAATATATGAGCCTAAGTACTTCTGGGAAAACTTCACTATGGTGCTGCTGTACATGGCATAAAGCAGCGTGCATGCATATTTTTTAGCTTCAACCAAGGAAGTGCAGTACTGGAATTTCATAGAAGCAGATCAAGGCTCTTAAATAAAAGAAGTGAGCAAGTATTTAATCTTATTGCTATATGCACAACAACTGAAATAACATGAGTTTATGAACACTTCTGAGCTTTTCCATCCATGATTCCACAAACCTGTAAGCAACTCTAATTAACAGTGATTGAGGGGAGGAGGGCTGGGCATAGAGTGCAGTTTTCACCAGTTATTGTAGCCCTTACATTTAACACTATACTAAATAACAAGGTGTCTTCTACCACTTCCTGTCGTCGCCATTTGGTTCCACTATGTTTGCAGGGCAGTTTGAACCAGCGTTTGTGAAGTTCCCCTTGCAAGTAAGACAGGAAATTAGCTCACTAATTTGTCACACGCCATATAAAAACAAACGGACGGAGTACTAAATAGTAGAGTAAGTTTGTCAAACTGACCTCTGCATACAACTGGAAAGTGACGGACGGAGTCAATCGCTTCTCCAAAAGAGCAGAAACTACGCCATTGGTATCCAGTTTCCCCCTCAATCGACACTGCAAATTCGATAATCAATATATTTTCACTTAATATTCATGTGACCTCACATAACTTGAATACCGTAAGGCCATAGAACAATATAAGTTGTTAGCCAAAAAGACCCATTTGATATTCATGTGACATAACCCAACTCATGAAAAATGGAGACCCTCAAGCGTTTTAGCTAACACATGCATTACAATAACAACTTGAAGCATGGAAAAAATAACAAATGGGTGAAACTGACAAGGATACCTGTCTCAGCATATAATCATAACCAAAGGTTGCTGTTACATCTTTTGTCACTGAACTGTACATGAAATCAGATGCAAGGGAAACCTGCACACAATTGCTTATGTAGCGAAGCTGTTATAAAAGCAGAAAAAGATGTAAGCATTAAATACGACATGAAAAACACTCACCTTTTCAGATACTTTTTGTACATAACTAAGCGCAACCATTCCAGTGGTTGCAATTTGGGCAGTCCCAACCTGCACATATACGAGATACAGCTTCATCAGATACAGCTAAAAATATTTTATTTCCCCATCTTAATATATATATCAAACTATCCAATGCTTCTGCCAATTGTGCGTTTCCAAGATGAGTTGTGAGGCTCTTGTTACAGAAGTCTAAAATAGATGGTAAACACAAGCAAGAAACCTGATTTATCAGGTCAACTAAGATAATATATGAGCCTAAGTACTTGTGGGAAAACTTCACTATGGTGCTGCTGTACATGGCATAAAGCAGCGTGCATGCATATTTTTTAGCTTCAACCAAGGAAGTGCAGTACTGGAATTTCATAGAAGCAGATCAAGGCTCTTAAATAAAAGAAGTGAGCAAGTATTTAACCTTATTGCTATATGTACAGCAACTGAAATAACATGAGTTTATGAACACTTCTGAGGTTTTCCATCCAGGATTCCACAAACTGCCAATTGCTGGGCGATAACCAACCGAGAAATTCGGGCCAGGAAGTAATTCTTTGTAACCCAGCAAACCTCCCTCCTAATTACCTCCATTATACCGATGGCCGGTGCCGATGCGGCGGGCGAGCTTGAGGTCCGGTTGCGAGGCGAGGTCGAAGGAGCTGCATCCCGGCCACCTGCGAGGGGCAGCGGGGGCCAGCTCGCGGACGTGCGCCACCGTGCCGGCCGCGCACCGGCCATCGGTGGAGGCCATGCAGGCGGATCTAGTGGAGACAGGGAGGGCTCGCGCTGGATCCGGCTGCTCGCCGCAGATCCACCGCCTCCGTTGGCTGCGCGAGGTCGATGGCGTGCTCCAGCCTCAGATCGGCCGCCGGGAGGGGCCCCGCGAGCAGCCGCTCCAGATCCACCGCCGAGGTTGCTGACGTGACCTCCCCGTCGTCATGCATGGCCACCACGGAGTTTCCTCCGCCGCCAGAGGCCTTCGGCGCGTCAGGGCTGCCGCTGGCTGGCCGCGGGGCCGTGGGGACGACCAGCGACGGAGGGGCGAAACCCTAGGCCGCGCGACCCGCCGCTGTGCGTGGCGAGGAGGAAGCGGCGCGGTGGCGGAGGTGGTGGAGGAGGAGGAGGAGAAGGAGGAGGGAGGCCGCCGCCGCGCGGAGGGCGGGCCACCGCCGAGGTCGTCCCGCGCCTTCGCCTGAGCCGCGTTGCGAGGCGTCAGCGAGGGAGGGAGAGAGCGCGCGAGAGAGAGAGAGAGCGGAAAGGAGGAGGGCGTCGGGGTCGGGGAGAGCCTCCGAGGGCTTCGTACCGGGCGGGTCGGCCTGTAGCGTGATGCGGAGCCAAGACGGCCCGTCGATTGGCGAATCGGACGGCGAGCGGATTTCGGGGCGACGTGGACGGCCTGGTTGCTGGCCAAAGCTCCCTGCTTTGATAAGAAGAGATGCTCCCTAGCCCGGGCAGTTTCACGGGGTATAAAATAATAATGTGTACAGAACTACACAAAATTGTTCATAGTTTAGCGGTAGGGCTGCAAATTTGCATCCCTATTTATATATGATCTTGAGTTCGAGCGCTTTGTGATTGTGACGTTTATTAGGTATATAATAGAGAATATAAATTTCCCACTCTAAAATACTGCTCGCCTGGACCAGTGCCTGGGCCAACCACCAGCGACAGTTCCGCCTAGGCTTGCTACTGAAGATAGTGTTGTAAGGAAATATATATGGATTATATTAGAAAATAAAATTAATAATAGTGAGTGTTGTAAAGAAATATATATGGATTATATTAGAAAATAATTAATAATAGTGAGCAAATATATACTGATAGAGGGTGCCACTGCGAGTAATAAATGTGTTCCTGGACAAAATGGAATATGATCTTGTGCTCTACATTTTTCGTTGATAGAAAAGAGGAATATGATACACCGTAGTTCTCAATAGATGATTCCGAAGAGGCTATAACAAATAATTAAACGATAGTCGAAATTACAATCAGAATGACCATATCTTTGCATCGATTGGAGAACACATATCTCTCATTTTGTGATTTTCACCTCACCATTAAACTCAAAAAGACAAAAGAAAAGCCCAAAGGCTGTCAAAAATTACTTTTCTTTTAGTGGCTGAAGAAAGTAGATTGCATCCATCGAAGGGGCATTGGTTCCCTTCTCTTGAACAGATCCTCTGATTTTCACCTCACCATTAAACTCAAAAAGACAAAAGAAAAGCCCAAAGGCTGTCAAAAATTACTTTTCTTTTAGTGGCTGAAGAAAGTAGATTGGATCCATCGAAGGGGCATTGGTTCCCTTCTCTTGAACAGATCCTCTACAACTGCAGGATATGACAGTAAGCTTACTTAATTATCTTACTTCACAAATATAAGTAGAACATCGAGTGTTATTGGCTGAAATGACAGTAAGCTTACTTAACTATCTTACTTCACAAATATAAGTAGAACATCAAGTGTTATTGGCTGAAAAGACAGTAAGCTTAACTATCTTACTTCACAAACATAAGTAGAACATCAAGCGTTATTGGCTGAAAGAGCTAGGGAGATCCATCCCAAGTAAATACAGCAGGAAGAACATATAGCCATGACCACATATTTTTCGTGCTATAATGACTATCCATCAAGGACTGGGCAATTCACGCGAAATTCCAGCATCGGTAATTTCCGCCGTCTTGCAAGCATAAGCCATGATCTTCACCATCAACTTGTTCATTATAAGAATCGACAAACGAAATGGCATAATTGTTTCGCTTCCCCACTTGTAATGGCCAACGAAACTAATTTAAAAAGGGCCTGAACTGCTGAAGGTCCCTAGAATACCAATACCATGAGACAGGATGGTCACACATTGTGAAAAAGGATCAATGAATATGGAGTATGTTCTATTCTCGCCCAATTCATACGTCCTAATCTACAATAGAGTCTCTCAAAAGTATGAATCTAGCAACAGAAGCATCCCATAGTCAGGTAACCAGCAAGGAGAGAGAGAAAAAAGAGTAAAATAGCAATGCAAGAAAAATCAAGGCCTGTGTTAAGTGCCAGTTACAAACATGACAAATTTTAGCCAAGGGAAAGGAAATCTGTATCATCAGGTAATAACCAGCATGACCAGATTGAAGGAAAAACATCATTATTAGTTGGCAAACCAAAAATACACAACTTAGCAGAGGCGATGTAGTTGGCCTTGAATGGTCCAGGTCGATATTAGCCTTGAATGGTCCAGATCGACGGCAAGCGGCAATAGGGTTCAAACGTTTTTTTGGATCAAAATGTAGGTGGAGAAGCATAGTGGACATTAAGTTGTCAACTTGCATAAACCCCATAGGCCATTGCAGGTGCTAAGATCATAAAAATTAACCCATGTGCTACTATGGTTTTTTAGAATTTGCATAGTTAACATATGGTAGATGTCAGGCAACAATGTTCTGGCCAACAACAGGACTGGCAGACCGAAACTGCATGCATTTTATAGTAACCTTTCTGTAAACACACACACAAAAAGCAGCCGTACAAAAAAAAAAGGAATAAACAAAGGCTAGAGGGGAAGGCTTACTATACCTGGTTCATAGAGAAGTAGTGCACACATGCAAGGTGCAACAAACAGAACATGGTCAATGTGCAGCCCTGCCAAGAATAATAATAGGTTAAGGGACATCATGAGAAGACAGTAAGCAAATAGAACATGTGCAGCCAAGAATGTAAATGTATGTCCATGAAGTTCCAACTAATCTGATTAGAAAGTTTTTTTTTTTTTTAAAAACATGAGATAGTTGCTTCCTGATCTAGTAGGCTTACTTGATTAAGCACTCAAGTTGAAGCCTTCGCACGGAAGACTAGATCATAAGCATTGGCATACTTCTTCATTTGAAATATAAATATAAAATACCAGGAAAAATAAATACAAATATTTTTTATTGATAGAACTACCTTTCATCATTATTATTATTTGTTAGAACAGCAATTGCCTAATTCATATATACTGAAATGTTCTATTGTTGCCAATGCACTATTCTGAGATCTGGAAAATTGGAATTCAATCAAAACAATTCAAAATAAAATGAGAGTTGGATGATTTATCTATTTCATGAAATAGTTGGTATGTGTGTATAGGCACAAGCCGAAGCAGGCATGGTCACAGTGAGTTACAGTGAAAAGGTAGAAGAGCTAAATCTAAAAAATGGACATCAACCTGAGTTGTCTACAAAACAAATCGAACGATGCAACACTTGTTTTGTCAGGAAACCCAAAAGGACTCTGTAAGAGAGAAGAAGGAAAAAGCGGATTATCAAACATGAACATTAAATTGGAACACCAATATAGGACAGATTACTAACAAAGTAACAAGCAAGTATTGGTAGATGCAAAGAACAATAGGCACTTCCTTCTTTCCGTATAAAAAAAATAGCTGAATGCTACTGAACTTACTTCCTTAGCAGCAGCTGGAAAAACTGACATAAACCACATAAACCTCAAATGTTGTTGTGGACAATACAACTTTGTCTAGATCAAGTAAATAGGAATTCCAACTTTTGGGAAACCAGATAGAACACTGAATAAGCATATTTTTTTGTACTGACTAAGCTTAAAGAAAAAATGCCTATTACTACAAAGCATCACTTGTTCAGAGGCAATCTAATTCGTCTGAAACGGTAAAGCACAAAACTTCAGAGGAACTCATAGTAGGAAACATGAGCATATTATTATATAATAAAAACACATATAATACTGTATATTCGACTTCAAATTGCTGATAATAAGTTGGTACAAACATAGTACGTTATACGATGCATTGGTCTCAATAAGTATAGGTATTGTACCGTTCATAAGATGACACTAATAAACACAAAAATAGAATCTCCAGTTAATGGAGTTGGAGTGCGTCAAGTACATAGCAGGGTAGTCTCAGCATTGTTCACCTAAACGGCCATTTAAAGACGACAAGAAAATATGGCGCACTTCGCGGTGCCCTACCATGCGCTACTAAAAGCACTATTTATCCCAACGGATGAGAATATCTTTGTATCATGGTAACGCGTAACCACCATTCCATTTCAGACTATGAAACATGAAGCAAGGGCATGCTTTCAAAACAAAAGTAAAAGCTAAAATAATATAACTGGATTTTCTTCTGAAAAACAAATTGACCAATTAGTTGACATGGTAATACTGACAGTACATTAGCAAAATATGGCATATTAACTATTTGCCAACAAAGACGTAACTGGGCACCTCATACAATGCTCAACTATCCATCCAGCCTATAACATACAACTTATTTTCTGGTAGTTTGTAGCACACATGATATACCCAAACCAGGGATCAGAGTGCATTATGTATCAACAATTCACAAATCACATAGGCGAAACTATGCTAAAGTACTCCTGATCATATTCAGGTCCCATATAATTGGTGTAACTTGTAAGTGCTCTTGTAGATGCACATAAACAAAAAAAAAGTATGATTCCTAATCAGCTACGATGGATGGAAAATCCCAAACTGGATAAAATGCATTATGATAATGTTAATGTAAATTTCAGAAGAAAAAAATAGGGGTCATTGGTGAACTCCAAAGTTCTGAAATTTTGATTACATCGGCATGTTTTTCCTCAAGTCTTAATACTTGGTAAATCTTTGGATGCGTGATTAAGCCCATGTAACTACCATGTAACCTGAGACTGCCTGATTCGTTTCAAAAAAATATATAAGTAAATGAAAAGATTTGTTTCGCTCCT